AAGCTACAAGGTTGTCTTACCCGTATAAAAATGCAATCGCGGGAGTGGAGGCCGGCACCGGCGGTAGCGTCGTTCAAACTTTTCAAATTTTCTACTCGCGCCACCACGGTATTAATTTTAAATTGGAGGCGAACACATAAATTGTGTCCACATGCTGCCAATTTTGGACTAATTAGAGTTTTTATCCTTTAAATTCTTTTGGAAAGTTATTTTAATTAATACTTTACATGTGTGGAGGTTTTTAGGTTTGTTATGAGAAAATATTCATTCTAAATATATTTTTACAAATACCAAGAGACTCTTTTTAATTATGGATTATTATGGATAATATGATTAGAGCGTAGGTGACTCAGGGGTCGAGCACTTGACTTGCAATCTGCAGGTCCTGAGTTCGAATCCCGCCATGTACCAATGTGTTTTTCGATTTCTGATTTTATAGTTACGTTCCGCTTTATCCTAAAAAGTATTATACAAACATTAACCTTAATCTTAAGTTACTACTTATGTTTAATTAAATGAAATATATTGTTTTAAAACAAGTGACAAGTCTATTAACAGAATCTCCTTCTTTATTTTGGCTAATCACCTTGAACAATGGCCTCTAAGCTTATATTGAAGTAATGAAGAGACATCAAGAAGTATTTTATTGTTGACCTCTCTTAAAGAATAAAATAGCTGTACCGGCTTTAACTTGCTAATTAACAACGGCATATTTAAAATTGTTGACAAGGTGAGTGAATGACTGAGGATAAGATCATGGTCTCGTTTTGATAATCTGTCATTTGTTCGTAGCATATCGTTCGATCAATCAACGGACATGTTTGGTCACGAGTTGATTAATTTCAAACCTCCTTTTAGTTAAATCACCTTCGTAATAGCTAAGCAAGACACGAAGTCGCTCTCAATGAATAAATTAAACACTAATTTCTTGACATAGTTTATTTGATGTGGTTCACCTTGCTCGTAATTGCTTCAATATAATTTTTATAAATTTCTAGATTCTAGAACTACTCTGTTATAGTAAGAAAATAGACCATTTTATTAAATTTATCTCCAATTCGAAGAATGAAGTAATGAACATTTAAATTGTGATATCTTCCAGGTAAATTTTATAAATTTCGATGAATAAATATATTGAAGACGTTATTTGTGAATTGCGAAACATTTAAATTCTAACATAATTTCCCTGAATTATGTACGTATTGCTAAGATACCAGGGGGTTAGACAAAATGCATTTGCTTCCATAACAAATTTCAAAAATGTATGACATTAAAGCGCGACAATCACATGACTTATTGAAAATTATTGTCAAAACCATACATAGGAATCGCGTATACGTATTATACATTATCTATTATATAATTTATTTTTAATAATAATTATTTATTAAAAGATAAATGGTTTTTGATCGTCGTAAAACAATAATTATTAAATTTGCTTCCAATTTAGTCGCGAGTGGAGCATGTTACGGTTCCTAAACAGTGTATTTTTATTGCAACGTTACTTGAAACGTGTAATTAGTGTGAAAATGATTAAGGTGAGAGCAGTCGATCGTTGTAAGCACGCGATCGTAACAGGTTCGACGCCCGGGCCAGTCTTGAGGAGGGCGCCATGCGTTAAAACAGAAAATTGCGTAAACGGAATTCCATTTTTCCGGGATTCTTATTAAAAAATTTCACCATCTTTGAGGATAAGAACCAGGTTCTGTAATTTTTTAGATATTTTCTTAACACGTATCTTTTTAATATTATATTTAATTTAAGTACAAATAAGAAGCGAAAAAACCAGATAGATTTTCCGTAAATGCTGTTTTAAAAAACAACTTTAAATTCCTAATGTAAAGCAAGAGTATTTTATTAAGTACTATATATGAGTGATATCAACTTTCGAATATCGTGCAGTGAGAGCGAACACGTTCGCGGATCGCGTGCCGCCACTGCTCGCCGCGCGCCGCGCATCCAGGATTGAATTAGATTGACAACAGATAGACGCGGCACATCAATCAAACTGTCCCAAATGGCAATCGCTCTTTCACCCAGACAAAAGGCACGCTAAGTAACTAACTAACACTTAACCCCTCTCCGCCCCTAATTAGCGGGCTCGATTACGTCGACAGAGTTGAGCGGTTCACCTGTCCGGCGCAGCGGGCCGTAGATCATAGGGCGCCGGACCTCGCCCGCAGCCAAGCCTTTGTGCAAAGATTCCCAAAGCGGGAGCGAGGGCACTTTGATGTTTGGCCCGGTAGGTAATTTGGAAAAACGTTATTTAATTAACTTTCGACAAGTCGGCGTTATCGTGTTACAAAGCCACCGGGCGGTCTTTTAGCCCATGGCCGCGCGCACTTGATTTTTACGCCGAACACACGCGCCATAAAGGCGCTGTCGTTTTCAGGTGTTTTCCAATTAACATCGCGTCTTTGACCACGGTCAGTGCGGGTGAAAACTCGCTCTTTGTTATTATAGTTAACTGCGTAGTTTCGATAAAGACTCGCCTGTAATTGACCCTTTGTATAATACTGATGCTGAATAATTGCATTTCGTTGATGTTTAATGTGTGCGTTGTACGTGTACAAAGTTACAATAGTCGTTCATTAGCAAGACTGAAAGATAGTTTTATGAGTTGCCGAAATAAGTTTCGGAGTGTTTAAACTTTGGAATTGGTTAACAGTGCATTTTGTGAGAGCGCCGTGAGCGAATCTAGTGTCGAGAGAAGAGGAGGCGCCCGCGGCGGTCGGACGATGGTCGTCTCTACGAGATAATTAACTCTATGAACTATCTCGGTACACGACAAGTACTGCAATTAGGAATTTGCTTGCAAGCGTTAATAAATATCATTAACGCTTCTTAGCGAATTTTAGTACAACATTAGGAATGTTTTCGATAGGAGTAAATAAAACTTCGTACACATTACGGGATGACCACAGTTTGCGCGTTCCGTACGAGTGCGTTGCGCAAAAAATAAAAGGCGCTTTGTGCGGTGTTCAATGAACAGTTTAATTGCATTTCTTCGCACTTCTCTGTGCGGTGCGAGATGTTCTTTTAATCGAATTAATATCATCCTTTAATCCGACCCAAATTTCATTACAAAATAAAATCAGCAACAAAAATGCGAGAAATTCAACATCGCAAATTAAACAATAAAATAAGTATGTATTAAACATTTTACTTTTAATGTATAATATCAAAAGTAAAATATTTAAAATCATAGAGAAAAGGATATAATTTTTTAACCCATACATTTTCATAATATGGGTATCATATGAACAGATAAAAAACAATTATCTACTTGAATACAAGAAACATATTCGAATCTGTGATATTCAATGTGTAGGGGTACATTAATTTCGTTGTGCGGTTTGCAGGCCGCCATTTCCAATGGACCGGTAATCCTGGTAGTGAGTGCATTTAGCGAAAGCAAATGGCTTGCCAGCGCTGCCGTTTACATCTTCCTTCCTTTGTTTCGCCTATGCTTTATGAATTTTTAACTATCAGGTAGACGTCGTGTAAACGTCCTAAATTTAAGTAAAATAATATTCTTTATCAAACAATAATAATTCAGTTTCTTGCAATAAGATTCGTTGAGGCAAGACATTACCTTGTTTAGTTAATCATATTATTACCGGATAAAGATCTGGCTAAACCCTTAATAAAGCATTTCTTGCGTTTAAAAATTGATAAAGTGACACTGGTTAAATGAACAGACAACGAGTCAACATAGTAAACATAACGCTCAGCCGCTGAAGGTAATTTAAAGGTGATTGGGAACATCGTTTTGTTTTTATTCGCGCCAGCCGCTTTACGAGGTGCGTTACTTTTATCGCTGCATAGTTGACAATGGCGGATTACTCGATATATACGCCATAACTGGTCATCGCTGGTTAATTAAACTGTAATCGGCTGGAAATTAGTTACCATTGCACGTACCGATGTGTTTTTATTAAGTTATTTATGTTACCATTTGCTCGATACTTCGTTTTAACAATGTTGTGGGCGTAGTTAATAATTTTAAAGTTTTAAAAAGAGTTAAGTTTAAAGACTTTAAAATGTTGACACGTTTTAAAGTCCCTAAAAGGTATGGTAAAAATTCCTACTTCGCTTTAGTATTATGCAAACAATTTGGGTAATTAGTTCTATTATTTCATCGGTACTTTTTATCGAAATTTATATCAAAAACGAACACAAATCATCGTAACGTTAGTCATTAGTACAAAAAATTAGTTATAAATATTTCCCAGAAGCCTGTACACCGTAACTAATAGCGAACATGATGCAGAACGAACTTAAGTTACTTTTATCGCAATTAAATGCATCTAAGCATTGTTCAAGTTCAATTTACAAGGAAGTAAGATAGCCATCTATAGCTTAGTAGTTAGTGTATTGTGTGGTACACAGATAAGTATCAAGTGTTGAGTAGGATGTGTGTGTATGTTGGTTGGGGAACTTAAGTGTTAATCAAAGTAATTCTCGAAGGCAGCTGGTAGGTGATAATTAGCTTTATTAATTAAGGTATTTCCCAACGCAATCGCGGCTCGGTCACGACACGCGAGTGTTAATAATGCCAGCAAAGGTCATCCAGCCCGCCCACCACACATGCACCTCGCCTCAACTCACTCGCGAGCAAGACCTCACTTGTACACGCGATTTAAAACAATGTACTTCTTTATACGCTGTGATTATTTTAATTGCCTTCATCGACAGACGGGTTAGTGTTAATACTTTTACAATCAAACAGCTTATGGCAAACCAATGAACAGTATCTTTTATACATCTTCATATGAAAAAATCCCTTAGTTTTCGTTTGAATATGTATCAATTATATAAAAACATAAAATTAACTTAATTTCCCGTTCATTTGAACACCTTTGTTTGGTAACGTGGGGGAAAATACCTATGGACAGCAATGAATTGTGCAGATATTTTTTTGTTCATTGTGTCATATTTACTTTGGCGCCCCTGTTTCAGAATTAGGAGTTTATTAATGATATGTTATGTTATCTTACCTGTTCATAGTCCCGCTGCGAGTGTGTGTGTACTCATTCTCGCGAGCGGCGCGGCCGCCCCACCTTGCCCTTGCGCAGGGGCGCGCCAGGACCGGGCGCTGCGTTCGCGCTTTTCATCAGCTTCTGCCAGTCCTGCTCGCACACCAGTGAACCCGCCAGCATGTAGTACCTACAATACACTACTTATTATAGACATCTTTAATTTCAAACGTTTGAATTTTGGAACGTTTAAATCGTCACCAAGATAAGTATTGATTTAATCCCATAACATAGGTGATCATTCATGTTATGGTTCTCCTTATTTTCTACAAAAAAAAACGTTATATTTATAAACTTTAAACTTTGATTAATACAATTGGAATGAAGATTTTCTTAACTTTAAGGTAAGTTAATTAAATGTTTATAGATATGCTATAAGGTAATGGGTACCTGTCGCCCTGCATGAGGTGTGAGCCGCACTTGGAACACGCGAAGCACTTTATGTGGAAGACGTGTAGCGGCTGCTGCGGTGCGCTGGTCCGCATCACGAACTCGCTGGCGGGGATGGCCTGGCCGCACGCCGCGCACGCGCCGCTCGACCCGAACATTCTGCAACGGGACCGGTTCTCAATACCTCAATGCCACCCTTTCGTACAACAGTTATGATCCATTGACCCCATCGATACGAGGAAGTGCAGATAATATCTGTTTAGAGGCAACGTTTTGTTAAGTGCTTTTAATGCACGATGATACGTTCCGAACATCCTATTGCTTATGCAAATTGTTGTATTTTCTTGTTTCCTAGCTATTTACAGCGACTAGAAAACTTGCCTATACCGTACATTAAATGTGGCTAAGTATTATCCACACATAAAGGTATATTTATTAATCTCCTCATTTAAACTGCTTTAGTAAACATTGTATCGACTTTCTTTATGTTTTAATTTCTTTGGAAATCGGAATTCTAGGTACATAGAACTAAATAAATAAACTTTATACTTGTTTTTTAACGTACACTATCCAAAAGTCAAGTCTTTTTCAGTCAATTAAATAAATATGGTCGCCGGGCGTCATTCCATTTATCGGATCACTCGAGGATGTTAAATGTTCATGTCGGCTCGATACTTAGACGGCGGCAACAATTTTAACAAGCGCGCGTCTGCCATGATTATTGCTCGTTAAACTTTGATGAATGGTTAATAAAGCAAAGTAACGACATCTGTCGTAAATCAATTCGAGGATCGTATACGGTTAGAGATAACCACACAGGTGAATGCGTTGTATGGGCTGTGTATACTGCATATGTAGCAACTGTACCTATTTAATGTGGACTGTTAATACCTTAATTAAAAAAGATTACATGACATTTATTGATTTTAAATTTGTGTTCGCAGTCTATATGTGTTAATATCATTAACACCTAGTTTACGCGAGTATTTTCGATGCACCGCGTGCACTACATCGCTCTATAATTGACTTAGCGAGGTGTCACACGATTCAACATACCTCTGTATAAACGCTAAAATATTTTTGCGGTTGTGAACGATTAATAGAGTAATTAAATAATTAATGAGTTATTATTGCAACAGCTATTACCGTCGCGAGCCAGCGTTATTTACAACCCGCTGAATATTAATAAATCACAACAACAATCCCGCAAAAGCAATCAAAATTTAATAACCTGCGCTTCTTTGCTTTTATTCGCTTTACGATAATTTCAAACGAGCACCGGTAAAGGTTCGAAGATAAATTTGAAAGTCTTAAAAGATAAATTCACTTCAATCACTCGCAGCAAATGGGATTTCGTTTCATTTACTCCATCCAGTAAGAGCGTTTTCAATTAAGGAGCGCCCGACAAACAGTAGGTATCGGTGTATGAAGGTAAAATTAATTAAACCAAGCCAAGACAAACATGTACGGATCTATTTGTGTTGGCCGCGCGGAGCCGCAGCCGCATCGATATAAGTAAGACGCGACATCTTTTGTCATAGATTAAAAATATGACGAATTCGCAATATTACTACTATTCCTCTTTGTTATTCAGAATTATATTTTGCCAACGTTAAACTCCGTCTGGTCCACGAGAAAAAGCCATAAAAGAAAAAAATATTTTTTAATTAAAAAGTTTATAATAAAAGCTTTGTATCGAATCAAGCTAAATAAAGACATTATACATAAAGTAACATAACGACATGTATATAGAACACGTATGTTGTATAACTTGGGCAAAGATTTTACTTCAGCCGTCCGTAAAATCTCATAAGATTAACAAACTTTACGGGCCCTCGGAGTACTTGAAACTGATAAAAGGACTTAGTTTTGTACCTTTCATTCGGATTTGTAATTTTAATATGTCAAAGTTAAATACAATTTCTAATCGGGAATAACTTTTAGGTTTCCTTTCGCAATGTTATTAATTAAGGAGATATATGTGTTTTGAGAATTCGATAAGTGAGAAAGTTTGCGCCAAACATGTAGGTGGAGTATAGTACAAGCTGGCCGAAGTTTATTTGCCTTCGTTCCGTGTAAAATTGAATACGTCGCGGATCCTCATTAATTTAAGATGAAGTCTGTATCTTGACATGTTATTTTATTCATTACGCGAGTGTCTCGTCTCCCGGCGTTGTATATGTGTTGATTGTTGTAAGGAACATAATTTAAAATCTCCCGGCGAGTTCATTAGTGGATGGAGGCTGAAGGTGGGAAGGGGAAGGATACAGGACACTTAACCCTACTTCTTTACATGTATGAAATCTTTTTAATACTTTATACGAAAATTTAAAGCGATTTCAACAAAAGCTAAATTTAAATGGTGATAGGTTTATCACCGTGTTCAGTAAAACAGTGTCATCTCTAGACTTGCTGGGTTATGGATATCTTTATAAAATCTTTCGACTCCCAGTGTTAGTTTTGTTGAAATATATATTCTAAAAATATATTGTATACACTTTTTTTTTTATTCGAAACAACTAACGACTACATAATGTATATACATCAATATAATACATAACAAAGTCTTAGTAACTATGTACCACCACTTACCACTTCATTTATGTAACATACTGTGAGAACTATCGATTATTGATGCAAAACGTGATAAAACATTTGTATTATATAATTTACTATTTTCATTGTGGTTTTATTCAAGAAAAGATCAACAAACTAAAATAATTGAGATAGTCATCTGATGCATTATAAACTTTTACATATTTGACCAATAAATTTGAGATTAGCATAGTAGAATTGTGAAAACTTGCATAAGGGATTTTTCGAGAATACAATTAATCTACACTTTATGGTTATATTACTATCTATAATATTATCTTACTAATATCGTAAATGCGAAAGTTTATATGGATGGATGGATGTTTGTTTGAAGGTATCTCCGGAACGGCTGAACGGGTTTTGATGAAATTTAACACACACATGTAGAACGTAGTCTATAAGAACACATAGGCTACTTTTTGAGTTTTTTTTGTAATTCGATGCGGACGGACATGCGGGCGACAGCTAGTTTATCAATACATGAAAATAACGTCTATAAAAAGCACAGTATATTAAACATACTTCATACAAAAGTATACTTAAGAAAGTATTACTTATCCACTTAATAAAATGAAACTTGGTTGTGTCGGAGCGAAATCCTTTTAAAAACTTTAAGCGAACTAATATCGCAGTGATAAAATGCGCTAATATGAAAATTGCCTGAAAAGTATTAAGTGGTTCGATGAAGTATGGTAGCGTGGTGTGGGGGAGGAGAGAGGGGAGGTGGGGGTTATCGGAGACGAATCGCTTTCAATAAAGCCTCGGCGGCGTCCGGGCGCGAGATGTGTAACTTGTTGCGCCGCTGGGCCGCACTGCTGTTGTAGATGTGGGGAATACTGACTTCGTTATCGTCATTTTGTTCCATAACACTATTGTACAATTCAATTTAGCTAACGTATATAAAGACATAATGCTTTCTTGTGACCTTGAGGACCTTGAGGAAGAATACAGAAGAAATATTGTTATGTATAGAATAGAAATCTGGTTTACTATTCTTGATACGGAAGTTTTATAATGAAATAATTATATATGGACAAATAAAGTAAATATCACATAAATTAGAATCTTTTTATAAAAGCCTTCAAATTATAGTAAACTGTATAAATTGTAACGATGTTGATCGAATCGAATAATTTATAGCTACGTAATGGGTTTGTTACTATGTAATAAATTATTCAATTTATATATAAGCGTATGTTTAAAAGGTTTGATATGCTATTGAATAGTTTAAAAGATTATGATTTTCAGGTAAAAAGTTTTTTAAATATGATTTTCAAGTTAAAAAAACAAGAAAATGATCCTCTTAAGTTTTCTTATCTGATTTCTTTTTTTTATAAGCGAAGAGGGCAAACAAGCAGCGGGAACACCGAGGTGTTCATCGACGCCAATGGACATCAGCAATACCAGAGGCACCGCATTATTTTCTTTTTGAAAATGCTCAATACTAAATGATAGTGCTAACTATAGTAGTAGTCCTACCACAAGTACAGTTATTACGTAAAAATATAGTTACATAAACAACATAAAATAAATTAAGTCACTATTAAAAGACACATGTTTATCTTTCAAATTGACGTTTTTAATGATATTATCATTAAAGTCAAACATATTTTATTCGATATCGATATCATTATTGAATATTAATTCAACTGGCCATTGCTTGTTTTTTTATTAGCATAAATTAAATGAACTAGCCTAACATGTCGGCCTTCGGCGATACTCGATCTAATCTTTATAGTGTTATTCATTTTTTAATGGAAAATATATTAGAAATGAGTGAATCGTATAAAACAAGTCGTGGAGTTGTATACATATTTGACATATAAGGGGCATTGACTCGTGTTTGTATATTTTTACATACGAATTGTCTATTTGTAAGTTTTTTGCAGTATATTCTGATCACTATCAGGGTCGTATTCAATATCTTTGGTTATGTCATTTCTATATCTTAATTTGTACACTTAGTGTGCTTAATACTTATAAATAAATCATATAATTACTTTGAGCTTCTTTTCTAATTATAAGCAGAAGCATTTTACTAATTATTCATTTAATCTTAGTCGTTAAATTTTATTTTACATAACAGGGGTATTAGATTTGATAGGTGATAGACAGTCTTTGAGTTATTTTTTTAAATATAAATTCTTGTGGTTCCCACAAAAGTGAAAATCGTCATCAGCTAACTATACGTCCCCACCGAGGGGTTCGGAGTCTAGAGAGATAAGTGCGTCTTAACAGCTGACAAACAGTAGTTGTACCGCAGTGTCTACTGCCCTGCTTTACTGTTCTGCCCACGTGTGAAAATAGCACGAGGCTGGTGTCGTTGTATCAAGTTAGCGCATCGTTAGCAAGAAACTCGTTAGCGGCGCGTGCCGGCGACAAGCCAAGAATTTAATGACATGTGCCGCTCGCGCCGCGCCCGCCACCAAGCCAGCATGGCTCAATCAGGAGCCACCATAGCGAGAATCTGTCCTTTATTTCATATGCTGGAATAAACGCAGGCTTTTATGTCTTTATCCAGTCTAATTATATGGAGATAGCTAGTCAAGTCTGTTTGAAACCTG